CCCCTGCTGCAGTGGGTTGCCATGGGCTACTGTGTGTAGCCAGCAGCCAGCGTGAGCGGCCAGCAGCCACAGTGAGCGGCCGTCCAGAAGCTGGCTACTGATCTGCCCCGCCTGGGAAGAGTGCAATGATGGTGCCAACTTGGGCCAGTGAAGCAACGTCCTCCACAGCTAGACTGAAGAACAAAAGGACAACAACTTGTGTGTTCCCCTTCCCCCAATTCCCCAGCGCTGTTCCCATCCCCCCAATTCCCCAATAAAAATCTTAAAAAAAAAAAAAGAAACAGTGCAGTATTACCAGAATATATAGTACAAGGCAAAAGATGAGGCAGAAAGGTAGACAAAGGGCCAAGCTCTTAAACGCCATGCAAAGGAACCTGGACTATATCACATTCCATCAGTATAACTATATCCATTTGTAAGTTATTTACATGTTCTACTGTGTTATGTACATTAAGAAATAGACACAATGCACTTTTCAAAAGAATGAGATAAGGACAGATGTCTCCTTTCATCTGTGCACTCATTGTGGTCACAAATTACTACTGGAACACTGTGAAACCACCAAATGGTATTAAGTGGGGGAGTGGCTTGGTGTGATCTTCAGTTAGAGATTCTGGCTGCAAAGTAGAAGACGGATCTACGGAGAGGCCACTGTAATAGCCCAGGCTAGAGATGATGAGCTCTGAAATTAGGGCAATTGGTGGGGTTGAGTAAGAAGAGATAGATTTACAACATTTTAAAGATAAAAATCAGGAGACCCGAGTGATTGATTGGTGTGGAGGGTAAGGAAGAGGGAAACGGAAGGCAAATGACCCTTAGAAAGGGTCATTTCTGAGCTCAAGGAGAGAGGAACCAGCTCATGAGTTCCATTTTAAACCTCTTCATCTGCACTGTCCAATACCCTGGCATAACCCAAATGCAGCTACTGAGTGCTTGAACTGTGGGGAGTGTAAATTGAGATATGCTGTAAATGTAAAATACATACCGAATTTCAAAGACTTGGATTAGAAATGAATGTAAAATGTCTTTTGAATAACTTTTATATTAATTAAATGTTGAAATATAGTATTTTAGATATACTGGATTAATTAAAGATATAAAAATTTATTTCACATTTGCTTTTACTTTTTAAATTGGCAATTAGAAAATTAAAAATTACATGTGACTTGTATTACATTTCTATGGGGCAGCAATGATGTTGAGTGTGACGCCTATAGAACATCCAAACAGATACATTCAATAGATAATTGAATATGTAAGTCTACAGCTTATGGGAGAGATAATTTACAAGCTTATCAGCATGTATACCCATGCCAACCTCCTTCCTACCAGTCTTAGAGAATTAGGTATCCTTCTTCCTTTTCAAATTCAAAGTTCTTAAGATAACAGCTCTATTGAAATAATTCACATACCATAAATTTCATCTTTCTAAAGTATACAATTCAGTGGTTTATTAAGAGTTATGCAACCATCACCACAATCTAATACCTTTAACCTTAAAAAAAAACCCTGGACCCACTGGCAGTCAGTCATTCCCCGTGCCCCCAGCCCCCTGTTCTTTCAGTTTCTATGAATTTGCCTATTTTTAAAGTCAAATTTTCAAATTGAATTTTTCACTCTAGCGCTTCTGTTTCTATATTCTATATTCTTTGCTCTCTTTGAGCTGTTCCATTCAGTATTTTTTTGCTTTTGGTTTTTTAAAACATACAACTTTATCATGGACCTGAATCTGATCAGGACTCCAGGTTCAACTATCAGTTTAAAGGAAATACCGAGGGCAGAAGAATATGCTAAACTACACTACGGGGATGCAATAAGCAAAATCTTTAGGATTTGTCTTCAGGACACATAATGTGGCTTCTTCAACTAATAAATTGCATGGGAAATGAGAGAGAGAAAGGGATAGATACAGAGGGGAAATTTATAGATTGTAAAAGACATATGAATTGACTATTTAAATCCTGATTAAAACAGACCACACACACACACACACCACCACCACCACCACCACCACCCCACCACCCCAATTTGGG